GTAGACAGCAGGGAAACAAACTGAATTGCAGGAAGTTCCTTAGTTTACTAAATACTTCCCTAAATGTTACCATTTAGCTTAAATGTTAGTTTGGTTTACTAATCAAATTCTCTATTTGACTTGCCATAACTCAGTGCTGTCTGGTGTGGAGGCCAGAGACTCTTTTGGCCACAGCCAGCACAGAGCAGCTGTGTGCTGGTTTTCAGTCCATTTTCATTTGTCCTTGGATTGCTTTTAGACCCAGCTCTTAATTCTGTCTATGGCTAGAAGTCAGACTGCAATGTGTGGATCACTTTATTGCTGACGCAGTGCCCATTCATGGAAGCTGTTTGGAACAATTTTGTGACAATGGTAATTACATGCAGCCACGGAGGCGTGGTCCAAGGCTTACTTATAGAGGTTGGCAAAGTGCAGGCAAATCACACTTTGCTGAACAGCTTGGAATAAACTTAACTGAAACCAAATGTAGAGCCAAAGTGTGTGCTACTGACTGCCCAAGCAAGGGTGCAAAGTAAATTTCTGGGGGGAGGTGACCTAGTAAAAACTTACCCAGAAGCATGGGCTGCTGAGAGAGGCCTTGTGATTGAAGAAAACCATCTTTAGAAGGAGCGTGTCCTGTTTCTTCTCTGTCGTGTAAGAAAGCCAATATAGTGTCTGTTTGGGAGTTGTTTCACTGTGGGTTTTTTATTGCATTCTTGTAGGCTGGCTTTGCGCTCCAAGCAACTCCACAGTATGGATCCTGTTTTGGACATTTATATAGAATTCTTGTGCTAGGCAGTCGTAAGAGAAAGTAACATTCATCTACCAAAACCGCAAATGCAAACATCTACTTGCCCTGAAATATTTTTCAGAAATGCAGCTAGTATAAATTAGGATGACTCCTTTCACTTGACAAAGCAGACTTGTCACTGAAGCTTTGGTTGCTTTTTGTAATGAAGATGAACAAAATACACAAGCATAATATCCTACATTAAAGACCTGGATACTTGCTGCACAGTTCCTACAGGAAAGCAGGAATTGGAATAAAGCTCAGAAGAGAATTGTTACATGCACTTAATTCAAGCTGTCTTGACAGGCCTGTCATAAGGCTATCAAACTGGCTATGGTTTGAGGATGGTCTGATGTACATTTCTTCCAAGCCATTAAGAATTGAGCTGATAGAAAAACTGATTTTCTGGCAAGCCAGATAAGCTCCAGTGCTTCCAAGGCCTTCATGAGGGAACTTAGTGTGAAAACAAAATTCTGAAAGATCTCACTTGGGAAATATTAAAACATTGTTTAGATTTTGTTGCTATTTTTTCAGCTCTTTGTATAGGTCTCTATTTATTGAGAAAGATGAAAAATGGTTTAGACTGTCTGTCATATTTCATCAGTCGACACTTCTCAGGAAAACATCATGATTTTTTGATGAATGTATATTTTCTGACAGAAACCTTCTGTCAGCGTTTTTTGTTGTTCTCTAAATAAGATCCAAAAATCATGTTGTGTACTTTTAGAAAGGTTACTTAACAGGAATATAAAACAGTCTTTAATTGCACTGACTTAGGAAGAAGGAATTAATTGGCTTTTCAAACCTGGGTCTTTGAAAGCTGTGCCATATATCAGAGGAGAAAATACTTCCCACTTGCCAGAAAATAGCAGGTTCTGGATGGATTTTTCTTGTCTTTTTCTTATCTGTATATAGTACACCTAAATGTACTATCCTCATGTGTGACTATAAATTGTCAGATTTTTGCTTAAAGAGGACAATAACATTACTTCTAAATTCTTAAACTGATGCTTCTATCACTCTTGTGCTCAATTCAGGAGTATTAGGGTCTGCCCAGTTGCTAATAAAGCTAAATTAATTTCAAAGTCAACTCTGGATTAGCTCTGTACAAGGTTCATTTCCAAACCATGCAATTTGGATTGGCATACCTATGGTAGTACCTGAGCCTATCAGTGTAAGGGGGTATTTTATCATGAACCTCAATTACACTTTGAACGAGGACACTAAATCTTTTGCACAGCAGAGCAAAGGGAGAATTTTCTTCCACTTTGTTTTCTTCTTGTACATCTGATTTATCCTGCCCAAAATGACAATACTCTTGACCTTCTTAGGGTTTGTATGTTATGTTGTAAGCACCAATAGATTACAGTAGGTTTTGAAACTTCCCATGTTTTATTCTGAGTCTGTGAACTCTGAGCTGCTAAACAACAGGTTGGTGATCAGAATAGGAAAAATGGAAAAGGCAAAATTAACATTTTAAAAATGTGCTCAAATGACTTAGCTCTGCAAACCGGTTAAGTAAGGGAAAAGCAGCTAAGTCACTTGGAGTTCTTTTTTTTCCTAATGTACTGTGCAGTAAGGAGGGCTAGGAATACTGGTGGGGCAGGAGAAGGGGGAAGTATGTGACTGATGGGGACCCATCCAAGAGAGACTAGAGACTCTGGGAGGATGCACGGGGGCTGTCTAAAGGATGGTCACACAGAATTTTCACGTACATTTTTTTCTTAAATCTTTCTGGGTTATTTTTCTGCAATGTGTACGTTTGCTGAGAAGCTGAGTGTGCAGCCTGCTTTCTTGCTAGGCATCAGACCTGGAGAAGCTGCTGCTGCAGTTTGCCCTGAGCTGAGCTGGGCCAAAATGAGCTCTGCAATGCACGCAGTGCGAGGGCAAGGTGCCAGCCTCTGCTCCACCGTCATACCTCCAGTATAGAAACAAAAAAAGGCTTTCTGTGCTTAGCTGCAGTTATTTTGAGTCTATTCTTGCACTTTAAATAGCTATGGCTTTGGGGAAGGCATTCCTTCCGAGCGCAAAACAGAAAGTGGAAGCAACCTGGTCAAAATAGGATCTAGAAGCAGTAGTGACTTGCAAGGTGATTGCTGCCGATTACACGTGCAAGTTGTTGCTGGTAGACAGGGTGACGAGGAAGAAGGAGAGTTTGTGTGCATGTTGTGTCATTAACAGAAGTTTATGTTATCCTCCATGTTCTGCAAAGTCATTTAAAGTAAGCCCACAGTGCTACTGGTGGTGCATGTGCTGCCCAAACAGAGGTTACTTAATAGAGCTCTGTCCCCACCCTGGGTTTGAACAGAACACTGGGTCTAGCTGCATGTTTGGAAACTCCCAAGAGTACTTTCGTGCTCTAACTCTATAGCATACTGGAAATCCTGATTGGTTTTTAAAGCAAAACCCCCTATGTAAATAAATATATTCTCCATGTACACGCCTTAGGGTATAGGAGAGAGAAACCTGACTTTGACATGCAATCATAATTGTATACTCATTCCGAGAATGGAAGACTGCTCAAAGCCACTATTATTTGACTGAATAAAGCTTTAAAAGGTAAGTGGTGGAATGGTAATGTATGGCAATGTTTGGAATCCTGAACTCTTTCATACAATTTTTTTCTGAGTAAGTGCCATTTAAGTCAATGTGCAAATCCTTTAAAAGTACAAGTTCACTATTTTTTTATGTAGTCGGCTTTATATGTGGGATATATTTGTGTACGTTGATAGAAAGTCATATTTAAATAATTTAGTTTAGGCTAGTCATTAACTATGCAAAACCCTATTCATGTTAAAAATTCAGTTACCTTCTTACCGAAATTCAGTGTCACTCTTGTTTTATTGCATATCACTAAATGATGAATCGGTTGTGCTCACTTTGACAATAAATGCTAGTTTTTAAGACAATGAGATTTTACAGGGCTTTCAGAACTATGTTTAGTCAACAATGAGGTTGACTTGGGCTCTGCATGGCCAATGCAGTACAAATCCTGCATCTTTATTTCAAGGAGAGCAGATCGAAGATTCTGTGTGGCTGCAGCAGGACTGCTGGATAAGAAGTGATTGTCCTATCCAGTATACCTGGCAGTTCTCTGTAATCACTTTTCAAGGTAAACTTGTGCAGCTACTGAAAACTTTATTACATGCAAAAATACCTTTTTGTGCTTCTGACTGCTCATGACTTCCTAAAGATGGAGCCCAGCCTATTGTCCATATCCACCTGTCCTGAGACTGACATATTTCATGAGACTTAATGCTTTATGGATGGGTTTTGGCTGCTGTGGACAAGATTTGAAATGTTAGCCCTACTCCCAGCTTCTGCTTCTAAAGGCAAGAATTTAAAAACTACCTCTATGCTTTACCTAGAGGATTGCTTGGGCACCAGAGTTGAGTTCAGTAGCTACTTAAGACTTCCTGTATAGCTAGGAATACACTCTGTGCAGTGTGTTGTTATCAGAAAGCCATATCTACTGCAGAACATCAAAACTAATTTTGGTTTTTTTTTGTCAAAAGTTACGAGGAAGGAGGAAGTGATGCACTGTAAGTCATACAGAATCATTTATACAGCATTTTATGTCAGCCATAACAGCCTAGTGGCTGCTTTCAGAATACAAATCTCCTGATCAAAAGAAGAGAACTCATTGAGAAGAGGCTTTATTATGGCAATAGAAGTTAAGGTTAAGTAAGTCTATCTATTCTAGCCCCATAGTTTTCAGTTGATAATGAAAACCTTTTATCATTTAAGCTGAAATTTTCTGCTCTGTCCTGATGAGAATATGTTTTGTGTGAGGCTTTTTACTCTGGTCTTTCTGTATAGGGGAATGTGCTTTCAGCTGAACTGTTTCACTTGCAGTTTCTTAATCTTAGCAATTAAAATTGGAACGTAATCTTTAAATATATGTTTATTTCCTCATTGCACTTGGGGAAAAAAATCCACTTTTGTTTGCTTTTTTTGGCATTCTTCTCCAACACACACTTTCAATGTCTTGGTGTTATTTTTGCTGTCATTATAGTAGCTTCAGTTCACTGTAGTGCACCCAAACATTACTGCTTAAGAGCAAGTCCAACCACAGTATTTGTGTAGTTACTTGCAGTACTGTTTCATGCAAGATTTCTGCAAGGGATAGTTGTTGCTGTAACTAAGGATGTGAACTGAGATGCAGAGGTACTGGCGAATGTGACCTGACCAACACAGCAGTGGATCTGCAGAATGGCAAATCTCATTCTCTGATTCAGCTGGCAGAGCTGATGCTGAGATCCAAGCAGCCACATAATGCAAGGAAGACTCCCTCCTTTTAGGCAGAACTTCAGATGAGAAGCTAAGTGCCTCCTGCTTGTGATCAAGAAGTTCTTCAGGCAGTCGCAGGGCTGAAGCCTGTTAAACTAAGGTGCAGTATTTACTGGATCCAACTCTTAGTTTGGGGTTGTAGTCACGACACTGTCTCTTACACCGGGATGTAGAACTGCTCTTAAGCACTGCCCTGTCCATTGGGTTTGTCCATGCTGCCCCTCACAGGTGAACTGATTTTCACTGCTTCTGTAGGACAATAGAGAATGTCCCTGTCTCTGCAGATCTTATCTAGTGACTAAAGCACTGCCACAAAGTGGGAGCATGAAAACCAGTACTTTTTAAAATGGAATTTAGTGGATTGGAGGAGAGAAGGTTGTAAGGACTGGTGTCTGCATCCCTGGTATTGCAGGCTTGATGTTCCTAATTCAGCTTAATGTAATCTGGTGTCTGACTGGATAACCTTGTTACACTGATACAGTGCTGCAAATCCTTAGAGCCTCCCTTTCCTACCTAACCCCCTTCTTATGGAATAGTTGAATCTGGCAGAGAAGTAGAATGTCAATAAAAAGGAAGGGCAACGAGTGCAGGCATTGTAATACTACAAGGATTCCCTGTGATGTGGGATGGCGACAGTAGCCGTGTCTTTGACTTGTTCTGGTAACATCCTCTCCTGGAGAGAGAGTCAGAGTGCAGGATAAGGCTCCAGCAGGGCGGCAGAGCGCACAGACATTAACTGCATGGCTCTGTGTGTGGAGCAGAAGCAGATTTGAAAGCCATGAGGTTAATGACAATGAACTGGGCAGGAATTGGAGGTGCAAAAGAAAAGGTGGGATCCAGGTTCTAGTGCCCAGGAATCACATCAGCTGGGATGTGGGCAGCACTCTTTCTCTGGAGGGCTCGGACACTGTCTTTTTGGGCTGTTTTGGGGAAGGCACTGCTTTGATGTGCTTATGGACAAGTAAAAGACTAGCCACAGAAAGGCCCAACCAGCTGCTGAGGGTGAAAGGTACGGCTAGTATATAAGTGGAAAAGTTAAATACATGCTGCCTCACAGACCTGCGTGCTACAAACTAATGAGGGTGCAGAGCAGAGGAAGAAGGTATTCAGAGTGTGTTGTGTTCATATCATATAGGAGGAAGGGAGATAATACAGAGGGGAAGTTTCCTGATGAGAGGTCAGACAGTGGGTACCCTTTCAAAGGAATAAACTGAAATGCCATCACTTTGACTTTATTTTCCTGCTTTAGGACAGTTAATCCTGCTTTAAATTGCTAGTGTTGGACATGACTTATGATGATCAGGAGTGAGCTTATCTTCCCTTCTTGCTTTTGTCATAGGTCCAACACGAAAAATGCCCCTGACTGCCAGTGCCATGGACTTTTTTCAACTCTTTGTCCCTGACAATGTACTAAAGAATATGGTGGTCCAAACCAACATGTATGCCAAGAAGTACCAGGAGAGGTTCGGTAGTGACGATGCCTGGATTGACGTTACCTTGTCAGAAATGAAGGCCTTCTTAGGCTACATGATATCAACCAGCATCCACCACTGTGAGTCTGTTCTCAGCATCTGGAGCAGTGGCTTCTACAGCAACAAAAGCATTGCACTTATCATGACACAATCGAGGTTCGAGAAGATCCTGAAGTACTTCCATATTGTGGCCTTCCGCTCAAGCCACACAACGCATGGCCTCTACAAAATCCAGCCTTTTCTGGACTCTCTGCAGAATGGCTTTGACTCCGCTTTTAGACCTTCACAAGCCCAGGTAAGAGTTAACATGTTGGCAGGGAACATTTAACCAACGTGCTCTAGATTGTCTGGTTGTCAGGCTGTGACTGAAAGTGCAGAGCACAGCTGCCTGAAGAAAGAGCTGGGGCTTCATACTGGAAAGCCATGCTGTGGTGCTTCCACGAAACATGAGAGAAAGCAGCACTGTCATGTGCCAAGTGCTCAACAACGTCTGACTTACAGCTCTGCAAGGCAGGTTCCCAGCATGTTTCAATAGTAGTGACGCTCTCCAAGGTGTGGCTGTTTGCTTTGGTGGTCTAAACAAGCCTGGAGGCTTCTCGGTGAGGTGGGCACCACTAGGTTTTGCTATCCTGAGGATGGGAGGTTGCAGGCTGCTCCTAAGAGGGAGAATGGAAAGGACAGAGCTGGTACGGCTGAGCTGGAGGGAGAACCTGTAGCTGCTCCAGCTACAGGCTGAGGGTTAGATGCAGGAGCTGAGTTTGCTGGGAATGACTGGCTATGACCCTAGCAGCAGGTGCTTGTCATATGGTCCAGCAGCACAGCTGCCTCCCCTCGACTGGGCAAAGGGAAAATGAGCAGGGGGGAAGGTGCCTTTGCCCACTGTAGTTGTCAGCTGCCCCATCAGCACGGCCTGTGCCTTGTGCCTCTCCTGGGTTTTAGTGATAGATGGTGCTCCTATGGAAAAACTTATCGATGTGTGGATTTGCTACCAAAGTGCCAGTGAACTGGAAATACTTCTAGACTATCAGGAAAAAGAGTAAACAGGACTCCAATGAATTTTTATTTCTGGATACAATTAGGGGTACAACGGAATGCTATTCTGTAGGGACACTGCTCTGTGGACTGGTCAGACAATGTAAGGAACAAAATATAGAAACTTATGTAGCTGGTGATTGTCTGACTACAGCTGTACTGTTTTTTGTTTTGTTTTGTTTTGTTTTGTTTTGTTTTGTTTTTTTAAGTGCAAATAAACATTTTCTTAATATTCATCATACACTTTGTTCCACTAGAAATTATCTCCTTTTGGAGTTGATGCTACTAGTCATGTTCAGAAGACTGGAAAGCAAAAGGAATAAGCATGAAATAAATATGTTACTGCTTGAAATAACTTCTCAAACAATTCTCTGTTTTCAGAATGTAAAGATTTCACTTAGACATTTGGAAAAGGTGTTGTGTCCATCATCCTCTTTTTCTTCCTGTTTCCCCTCTGAAGCACCACATTTTTGCCCACTGCACAAAATTAATGAAGACATAGATGCATTGCATCCATTGAAGTGTACCTAAAATAAATGGGGAACAAGTACAGGGTTTTTTTTTCTATTTTACAGATGATAAAAATCATACCTTGATAATTCAGATGGAGCTGTCTGAAAAGCTGTAATGGAAGAGAAGGGAGGTGTGCTTCCATCAGGACAAAACAGGCAGTGAGAGACATGGTATTGTTGGGACTAAGCTCTCATTAAGATATGAAATCTAATCCTTATGGCCACTGACTTCAATGGGTGGAAGATAAAGGCTTCAGAAATGTGATCACAGTGTCTAATGTAAATGCTTATAATGGTGTGCTGTGGGACATGCTGTGAGTGCAAATCCATTAAAGGATAAAATTTGATTTGAGTGTCTATCCCTTCTCCCTTCCCCTCTCCTGAGCAGGGAGGAACTGAACTGACAAAATCATAGCATTCTATTTGCAGTGGCAAAACGTCTCAATTGCCACAAGCAAAATGTATGCTTGTGCTGAGCTTGGTAAGGAGACACTACTTTTAAAAAGAAACGTGGTGGGGGGGAAGATGTAGCAACATCCCAATTCTCTTCCTTCCCTCTCCACTTCTCTCTTCCCCTGTCTGTGTTTACATTGGTGATTTCTATACAGCATGTTTCAGTGGTATTTAGTGGAACAAAAAGGACTAAAACACAGTTTCAAAAATAACTCTGTGAGAAAGGAAAAAAAAACTTTTGAATCTGTTGTTAAAAATACTCTAGTGTGACGCTGGTAGCCTACTGGAGGATGTTCCAGGTCTCCTCCTGACAGAAGCCTTGTGCCTAACATCCTCCTGGGTGCCTTCAGGCAGGGTTGCACACTACCTTTCTCCAGAGATGTGGACCCCATCTGCTCAAAAACAGCAGGAAAGACACCTCCCTGGAAACTCTCTTGAGTGCAGATTAGCAGACTGCAGTAAACCTCAGCATGTCTGGTCCAGGAGAAATAATAGAAATAATTAAAAATAACAAGCCAGTTACATGGAAGCAAAGGGAAAAGGCAAGGGGAAAGACCCATTCAGGTGGGCTTTCGGATGTGCTGCCTCTGAAAGCATTTTGGGAAGAGGGCCCCAAATTCCTGTAAACAGTGATACCTGGAATCCCAAGTTCAAAGCGGATTTGTTGCTTAGGGTACACCTGTATCTTAAATATGAGACTTGTGGTGTCTGGGTGGCTTGTGCTTGAGCCATGATCTATGCCCAAAGCTTTGGGCTAACATCTTGTAAGTGGCATCAAGCAGAGGAATGGCTTGGGCTCCTTGCTGTTGAAGGCATCAAGGTTCTTTGGACTTGTAGGTAGATTTGTTACTGACTTTCTTCCTCTGGCAGTGTTGGCTCAGAGCACACAGGTTAGGCAGATGCCTGTTTAACTCACCCCTACAGACTGATGAGACACTGCATCCAGCAGGCAGTGCAGCAGCTGCCTCCACAGTTATTTCTTCTGATTTGAGCTTTTCTTTTTGGAGAGCTAGAAGAGATTCTTCTAGGTTTTTTTTTTTTTCATGTGTAACACCCCCCACCCCACCCCCATGTGCATGCAAAAATGACACCACAGTTTCTGTGAAAGGAAACAGAGGGAGAGGACTGTGCCAATATACCAAAACAAAGAAAACAATCTAGTGAATTATAATTGTTTTGCTAAATATACTGAACAAACAACAGGAAATAATTAGTCTCCAGCTTACTAAAGTATTGAAAGCCCAGAACATTATAATTATGTATCAGCAGTGCTAGCATCAATTTACAGAGTAAAAAAAATCTGTGTTCTGACCTAGATTGGGTAGGGACAGGAATAATCTCTGCATCTTAATCTCTGCATTTTATCCCTCGTCAACATCTTCTGTATAAATAACTGCTGCCTTTACCTGAGCAACAAGAGGTAGAGTTTTGTGACTGCTCCTGGGATCATTGCCATCTCTTTGCTGCTTAGCTTTGTAGCTATGCTGCTGTCTCTAAGTGGAAGCCTGAAGACAGGGAGGATGCCCTGCCTGAGCTCAGGAGGTACACTGCAACAAATTCAAGGATACTCAAATGCCAAGGGTGTAACAATGAATTCCAGAAGCCAGAGGAGCTCAGGAAAATAACGTCACTGCTCAGATATCCTTCTGTTCCTGCTAAGTATTTCTATGCTTGTCAGCGGGACATGACTAGACAGGTTTGGTGTCTCTGGCTGCCCCTGACTGGTGTGAAAGAGGTCTGGATCTGACACAACTCCAGGCAATCTCATCTTCCCTCTCCTTCTGAAGTACCTTCTCTTGGGCATCTTGGAACCAAGCATTTCTGTATCTGCCTAGTGAAATGTCAGCTGGGAACAGTCAGCTTAGGTCCTTACCTCAGGCAGGAGTGAACTGCCTGGCAAAAAGAGAGATGTAACTCCCACCTCTTGTTGAAAGGGTATGGTGCAAAAGTTTGGCCAGTTACTAGGGGGCTTGTTTGCGTTTCGCTCGTGGTGGTGTCATAGGGTACAGCTGAGCAGCTTCAGCATAGGTCCTCCAAAACAACTCACAGCATTAGATAACACCTCCTCTGAAAGCATAGAGGGGCAAAACCAGGCTGATCAACTCGTAGCTCTTGTGTGTCCTCATGCTTACATGTTGATTTGATGTTGGGCATTTCCATGTTATAAGATCTTGTTCAAGTCACAGCTCTATATCTCAGTTTTCCTGTTTTCAGAATGATTCTTTGTGAATGAGGGTGCTGGTCCCAAACCAGGGCTGTTCAGTCTTAGGGGTTCTGTGAGTTTAACGCAAAGGTGTAAGTATTCAGAAGACATTGGCCACGTTTAAGACATGGAGCAAGACAGACAGCGGAGCGATAGGGATATTGGACAGCAATGCAACTTTCTGACGTCCTGTAGCTCTTGCCCAATTGCTTCTCTGGTGAAGCCAGATTTTAGGGAGAGTTTTGACAGCAGAAGATGATGAACCTTTATAGCTATTTTTAAATTACCTAATGGTGATAGAGTGCTGTAAGAATTGTTTGGTTGGGTTTTTTTTCATTTGAAGATGGAACAAATGTGTGGAGGAGCATGAAATCATGGCTCTATCAGAGGTGAGAGCTGACCCTTGAATGATGTTAAAGAGGATCAGTAAAATGTGGATAGGCCAAACAGTACTTTGAAAGTGAAAACAAAGAATCTGTCTGATATTATTGGAGAAGAACTATCAGAGAGAAGTGAAGAAGTGTGATGTGACTAGTGTGATGCATTAGGAGAACAGTTTTCCAGCAGAAATCTATGGGGCAGGACTGCCTTATGCTGAGGCCAGAAGTAAAACTGTTGCAGGATGGCTGTGGGCTTGGATGGAATCTTGATCGGTGGGTGTGTTTTTACTCTGAAATGACTAATATTTTAGAGCTGTTACTCAGAAAGCGTGGAAAATGCAGGCACTGCCTGACTCAGAAGACCTTGCACAGATTCACTGGCCAGTGAGGTCTGCAGCAGGGGAGGGATGTCTGGAGTGACCAAAAAAGGAGATAGTAAGGGGTTATCTTAAGGAGAGGGAGATACTCTCCAATGCAGCATATAAAATCAGAACTGACAGTTAAGATATGCAAGCAGAGATGTCAGATACTAGCACGAGAATTTAGTTTAGACCGGAGGAGCTTTGGAGCACAGAAGCAGTAGCCCAAGCTACTACTACAGAAGCAATGGTTGAATCTGTGCATACAGGTGTGGTTACCCAGGGGACTCAGTCTGCAACTGGGTGGTACCCACCAAAAGCCAGAGGCAAGGCAAGCTGAGGCACCATTTCCAGGAGACAGGCTGAAGAGACAGCCTGTGTTGGGGATGGCCATGGAACTAAGAGAAGTTGAGCTATGTCAAGGACATGTTGGATCATTACCTAAGGACAGTGGAGTCAGAAAATCCAAGTACAAAAGAGTTAGTGGCTCTGGGCTTTGCCAACAAGCCTATTTGGGCTGTGGTGAGAGAAGGTGAAACTATGGGGTGGAAAGAACTTTGGAGATGATCTAAAATGGAGAAGAAAGAAAGGACCTGTCAGGAGACGGTGGCTGGCTGTTCTGTTTTGTGAGTTGGAATAATCTGTGGAGAGACAAGCTCCAAGATGGGACTCCAACACTTGGAGTGCATACGCATATTGACCGTAAACAAAGCGTGAAAGCTTGGCAAGATCTAGCAGAGATCTATGAAAAAAAGGGGAAAAAAAATACCCAGTGGGATAGCTGTGCAAGAGCAAAGCAACTAGATGAGCAGCTTCTTAGACCTTAAAAAAAAATGGGGATTTGAGAGAAGAATATGGGGATGATTTCTATGAAGAAAACCACAAGATATTTTGTATTAAAGGAATTCAGAATAGGAAGAAGGGAAGGCTTGGGGAGTGAGTCAAACACAATGAAGAGGCGGCCAGGAATAGAGGTAGGAGTCAATTAAGCCTGAAAGTAGAATTTTATCTAGGAAGATGAGAAGTAGGAAAGAATATGGCATGGAGTCAATAAGCTCACTTCTGGAAAAGCGGGTGTTGTGGTGACAGCAAGAATGGGGAATGAGCAAATGCTGCTTTGCATGGGGATTTAGCAAAGAGATGGATATGAGACTACAGGAGGAGCAAGGAGACTGAGAATGGAGTAGGGTGAGGAAAGTAATAGGGCTGGCCAGTGGCAACAGGGCTAACTTGTCAGAAGAAAACCATATCAGTGCCACAAGCAACAAATTGCCCCCTTTGAAAATGAGATGGGAATCAGCTGTTCCAGCAGCAGGCACAGCCCATGGATGGGCTTTTGCTTGCAAAGTCCTTTACAGCTTTTTGAAGCAGTGGTTGCATACGGAGTGGTGACAACACTTGTCTCCTTGTGCTCTCTGGAGGAAGCAAGAAGAGCAAGCTCCAGGATTTTCATTTCAGTTTCCTTGCCTGTCCATACTCCCTCTTTGCACAACAGCAAATCTTGCCCTATTCTGTTTCCATTTTCATTCCATCTTGCCAACAGTTCGGCAGGGATTTTGATGGAACATTAGTCTTCTTATGGAGAAATGGGAATGACTTAAACATTCAGGATAAGCGAAGGGAGTGGAAACTCTGGGTCTTATGGGAAAGGTGGGCTGAGCATGGGCAAGGGAGAAGAGGAAGATGAGGTTTTTAAAATTCAGATTTGCTTCCTAAATTTAAGGCTGACTGGCCTTGCTGTCATCTTAGAAGGCAGAAAGAGTATGAAGGGTAAGCAGGATGCAGTAGTGAGGAGAGCTGTGGTGCAGAGGAGGGAGCTGAGCTAATGAGAGAAGGTAAAAAATGCCCTCGGGTGATGCCTTTTCTTACTGCTGCTCTTCATCCTCCAGCAGGGAAGATTCCAGCAGTTAAACCAAACCACTCAGTGGGATCTGGCAGGTAAGAGGGCCTTTCCAGAAGTTGAGGAATTCTTAACAGTGTATCCAACCCCATCTCAAGGGATGTGGTCCTCCCACATGGCGGGAGGAAGAAGTGTGCCTCCCAGCATGGAAGAGGTAGAAAGGCAAAAACAAATGAGGGCACATTTAATATTTGCAAAAAGTTGTTGGAATTCCCTCAGGTGGATGTGTGAAATGCCCCAGGTGGCTTTTGGGAAGAGGAGCGGTGTTTCATGTGGACCTTGAGAGAAGAAGAGGATTTGGCTCCAGTGGGAAAACAGGACAGCTGCAGCTTTAAGAACAAATAGCTTTGTGTGCAGTTTTCTGTGCTCGCATCTGCATTTTGGATTATAATTTGAGCATCTCACAAGAGGGCTTTCGGATGGTCCTGTGAATGTTTTATGAGCTGTTAAGAAGTGGAGCGCGTACAAATGAAAGTGCGGAGCCGCCACTGCGTGGGGAGGGCACGGGTGCCTATTCTGGGCTGACAGAGCAATGATCAACACAACATCTTGTATTCAGGAGGCCAGCAGCTGCTCAGTGCTGGTGCCTCACTGCTCACCCACCACCTCTCTTCCGCGAGCATCGCTCCCAGGTTTAGTGCAGCTTTGCTCTCATTTCTGCCACTGCCTGAGCGTAGATGTGCACAAAAGCAGCACACATGCAGATGTGGGAAGGCTTGGTCTGAGGGTGACAGCCTCTGCATTGTGGATACCAGTAACCGAGCCTGCCTCTTGGGGTGATGGTCACTGGAAAAGAATGGTCTCCTTTAGATCGTAACTCGTCTGACTTATTTTACACATCTTTAAAAGGGTACAAATTATGGCCTGCTGAGATTGCTTTCCCCTCCTGTACTAGGAGGGGAACCTGCAGTAACTTGCTCTGAGTTAGATGTAGATGTCTGAATTTGGTCAGCATTCGCCAGCTGAGACCTTTCAACAGTTTCCAAGCATTTGTACTCTCACAAGTGACCTGGTTGACAACTCCCTGTGCAGTCAGGGATGTGTATGTTATGCACAGCTACCTGTGAGCTGCAAGGAGGTCGTAGGGCTGTTATATAAATGGGTTCTAGCGTGTGAAACCTGATGACTTACTGATGAATTAATGGCGACAAGTGTGACAAAACAGCTATAAGAAACAGGGAACCACTTAGGTCATCTGGATGCAGAATGCAGAAATTACTTCACTTTCACAAATTTCTATTACTTGCTCCAGTCTGCCCTGTCTTTTTCTATTCGTGCCTCTGGTCCTTTGTCTTTCTGACCCCTTTTGCCAAATTTTTCAGCTCCTGAGGCAAGAGAGGCTTCCCTGAAGCTTCTGCCACCAGGAAGAATGTTTTCTGTCTTTTCATCACCTTAAGTGGCAACAGAAAATGTTTTTCTCCCTTAACTTCTCTACCTCTTTGCTGTGTATTTTCCTTTGCTGTAACCAAGGAGTGTACCTTACAATATACTGTAGGGGATGTTTGAGTGGAAGACATTCTGCCAAATAAGATGAAGCTGATGATGAAGCCTAAAGAAGAATGCTGCTAACAATCTCTACCCTGCTCCCCCCGACCCCATCTCCTTTTGGAGGGATGTTGAACTGTAGCTAATAGTGAGAAGTGAGAGCTATGCCTTACAATGCTTGCCAACCATGTGTAGAGCAGCCATCCACAGTGAAGTGTGCTTGGCCAGGCTTTGCTTTTTTTGTTGGATGGAAGCATTGGACAAAAGTGGGTTTGTTCCTTTGGATGAGGTGATGCGCACAAGCACAATGCAAGGATTTTATTTCCTTGGACAAAATTAAAGCAGCTTTTTTTTTCTCAGCAATTGTGTATTGTTTCTTTCCCCTTCATCTTTTCTTGCCAATTGCAGGTACTGCACGAGCCCCTGATTGATGAGGATCCTGTTTTCATTGCCACATGCACAGAGAGGGAGCTGCGCAAGAGGAAAAAGAGGAAATTTAGTCTCTGGGTTCGGCAGTGCTCATCCACTGGTTTCATCTGCCAGGTGGGTTTTACCTCCTCAGATGTCTTGATTCAGTTCCAGAAGGTACTTAAATATATTGCAGGACCAAAGGTAACAGCCGTTTCTCTTCATTGACTTGCTGGGAGCTGCAGTCTGAATGCAGCAGGCCTCTGACCCCTGCAGGTACTAGACTGACGGCTGGTGATGATAAATTCTTGGTGTTCTGTTTGTTGTATGATTTAAATGTGGGTGCCTGTCTCTCATACTGACCATCTGACTGCCAGCCCTAAGCTAATTCAATTGAAATGGAGTTAAAAGGCCTGTCTGTTTGTACATCCTGCATTTATCTAAATGTCTAGGTACTGTGACTTCTGTCATCTTTAACGAGTCAGCTTTTCTCTCTCAGTGTAACGCTGCATGTGTGAGAGCCAGTGGTGTTCTGTAGGCTAAATCAATATGGTATCAAGGTGCCCATTTTATTGTGAGAAACATATTAGCAGGCTTTCCTATTACATCTCTTTTCACACCTCTGCTTCTCTACCAAAGATATAAAAGCTGATGTGACTTCCAGGTGAGATATGAGCTTGAGTAGGAGATGTGATAAAGGGTTTGGTTTTAATGTTGTAAAGGATTGGGAACAACTTTTCAAATTCTGATTCCCCAGCTGGTGATGTATTTTGAGAACTCTTGAAAAAATCTGGCCATTTATTTTGATACCTAGAGGTGAGGAGGTAGATACTTTCTGATACTTCTTTTTCCTGAGAGCTTCTGTGGAAATGTGGTGTCCTGCATGTTCCAGAGCAGCAGTTCAGAGGTGCAGGTAAGATGTGTGTGCTGCCTGCTCAGGTTGAATGCGTGTCAAAACTGCAGGGTCTGTGGATTTGATGTGGTTGAAAATTTGTTCATAGTAAAATTTGATCTGTGAATCACTATGACTGTTTGGGTTGCTATGCAAGAAGCAGCTTGCTGGGAACAAGGGTTGGCATTTTCAGTAACGCTCTTCTCTGTAGGAAAAAAATTAGGATCATACATCTTCCATCCAGGTTTTGAAGCAGTTGTTTTGTCCCATACAAAATAGATTCATTGTGTGAAGCGTCCTTGGAAGTTTCCATTGTCAAGGCTTTTGGAAAGTCATTTGCTACACAGAAACAGTGTCCTTCACCTCCAAGGTGAATTTCACCAGTCCCACACACCATTTGTTACTGAAGGGTAGTGGCTACAGCAAGCACAGAGTTTGCTCATCTCTCTTGCTCTTCTCCCCGCAGCCAACTGCCACCAAACTAATAAGCCTTCAGACATGCCAGAGGTTTCAGATTCTGAGCTATAATTATGTTGCATCTCCCGTCCTGTCCATTGAGAGAGTAAATTAATGGAATGTCAAATCAAACAGAATAGATGCTCAGCACCACCCTAATCCTCCTGCTCCCCTAATGAATTAGATACTCATGCCTCACTTGCATCCGGATGACGTCCAGGATCATCTTAACAGCTGCCTTCTATTTTAATTCCATGACTTGGCTGTAATTATCATCATACTAAAATGATTGGGTGAGTGGGACCTTAGGGAAGGTGCAGAAAAATGTGCAGGAACAACAATATTCATGCTAAAATGGAAAAACCTAGTCTGGGGAGGATGGAGATCTTCAACCATGGTATCATTGAAATGCTACATTCATGCTCATAAATGTGCCACATTTATGAGGGATCTTGCAGAATCCAGTGCACTTATGTGATAGTTGTTTGGTTTATTTACTTATTAAAACAGAGATTGTTGGGTTTTTCCTCCCTGAGTTTAATGTGTGGAGAGAATTCATCTACACCAGAAGATAATCCCATGTTTTCCCCCTTCATGTACATAACTTCCTCTTCATCTCTTGTGAAACTGCTTCCATGAAGGAAAGACTTGTTACCCAACAGTTAAGGACTGGCTGGTCTATCACCTGTCTGCTATCAGAAAAACTTTACAGCACACAGTTGGAAATATGTAGAAATGCTGTAGTACCGCCTGGAAATTCTCTCCTTTGATTCCACATGTATTGTGCATACACAGCTTGTACTGGTATACACAGCTTGAAGTAATTTTATTCAGGATAAAATATGACTATAAACACTTAATAAATCAAGTTAGTTCAGTTTCGAAAGTCTGAGTAATATGTATCTGTGAAAAGGTGAATCAGACCAGGCAGAAGAGGAAAATGAGCTACATACGACTGTCTCTTACAAATGGAAGAAAACTCAAGAGGTCTGTGAAGCTTCTTGACAAACGCAAGATCCTCTAAACCTGAATGATGAGCCTGGCATTTAAAAAATCTCCATCTAAGAACATCCCAGTTTTCCCAGTGATCTGCTTTTCCTACAATGAGAAGAGTTGGTTGGTTTGCTTTCCTAATGTAAAAGTGAAACTAGTGTTTTGAAGCCATGTGCTGAGCTACTCTGTGGATAACTCCTGGCTGGCAGCTCACAGGGCAGTTATGTTAAGAGTTTTAGCTGTTTGACTCCCCAGATTCCTCTGTCTTCTTGTTCTCATGAACAAATCTCTGAATCACTTTGTCTGGTTTGAGTAAATACTTCCATTCGATCGCTCCTCATTTGCTTTTTTAAGCAAATGGTGTTTGGTTAAAAATCCAGCCTAATAAGCCATTAGTGGAACAGAAGTGGCGTAAAACCCAAATATTGGTCATGGATATGAGAAGGTGCATAGACTTATATAGGCATAATATAAATAATGTATCTATATTAGACTATTTTTCTGTCTTACGTAATACAGATAACCTGGCACCACCCTGACAGTTAAGTCTATGTTTTAAGGTGGATACACAATTTCAGATCATATCTCTGCTTTGGAGTTTCTCAAGCAAAGCATCTTGTTGCACTGAATAGCTTAGTGGCTGAGTATCTTTTCACAGTCAGCTGGCCAAGTGGGAGCATGCAGGAAGGACACATCTTTCAAACAAAGTTAATATACATGAACAGAAGCTGGGAACATGAACAAAACTTTTCAGAGGATTAGAAGAGCTCCAGGAGAGCTGACTCTGCAAAGTAGACAGCAAAACTGCCCTGATGCTATTGCCTTTTCACCAGTCCTTGATGCTGGACATGAAGGTTGCAGCAGCTGCTGCTGCAAGAGGAGGGGGCTTGAGCGTTTTTGTTCCTTTCTTTCTAATTCAATGAGAACAGCAAACTCAGCTTACAGGACCTCAGGTGTTGCTCTTTGCTCCATCTTCTCTTTGCCTTCCTCATTACCCTCCAGTATATTTTCCTACATATATGTTGTCACTAAAACATTTTTCAAACCAATATTTGAATATCTTGATTGCATTTTAAATGAACACAGTGTCTTAGAAGTGTTTCTTTGTTTCTGACAGTAGTTGCTGAGTAAGTCATCCTATTTAAATCAAAACGTCAGGAACAGTTGGTTATAAGAGGTGTTGATAAATATAATTGGTAGGACTTTTTTTCATTTTAGATAGCAGTAGAGATCATCAAAAACTGCTGAGAGTTCCCAAACATTTGATCAGGGCTAGTTATTCTGTCCTGGTAGGACACATCTTGCACTCTTTCCCTTTCTTGTGTGGCTCACATAAGGAATGAGGGTGGTCATGAGTAACTAAGTGATGCCTAATCCTTGCATAACTCCTCCTGCACAAGGTTTTCTGGTAATTTTGCAAAAGGAGAAGGAAGCATGGGAAGATGATGGCATGCACTGAACCCCACAGGGGATCAGGCAGGATGAGCTATTCCCATAGTGCCTTGTCCTGAACCACAGGCCCACAGCACAAACATAACCCTAAAGACAGTCTCTGGCCATCAATCAACAAAATGGAAGGCAGTACTACAGAGCATTGCAAAGGGACAGTCAGGCAATATTAATTACTGTGATAGGTGGTAATGGAATTAGCTCATCAACCTAATTATTTGCTTAAAAAAACCCTGATTTCATAGCGGAGAAGAGGTGACTTTATGGATGTGTGTATCCTTTCTTATTCCTTGTGATGAAATTCGTTCTCTGAGACCATTCTGGATGCTTTTCCTTTCCCACACCACCTCCCTTCCCCCAACTCTGGGAGCTTGGTTCACTGGCAGAAAGGTCTTGCAATATTACATTTCGTTTTCACTAATATCCCTGTGAAACATGTCTCTTGGATTTATGAAGTCCTTTAGATCTGTGTGCTGAGACTGAGTTTGAGTTTCCACCTTCCATTGCTTCCCCTGAAGAAGTGATGAGTCAGAACAGATTAAGGAAAAGGACTGTGTCTCTGCAGCTTGACTCTTCCCACTTTCCCAAGCAATCAGCAACTTGCACTGTAGCAATATTTAAAGAGTGTAACCTGGATCAGGGTGGCTCCTTCATGAGAAGTTAAGAAATGGCTCTCTCCCTGAAGAGCAGCAGTCTCAGTGAAGGGAGATGTCTCGAAGTCACTCCTCAAATCAGAGACAGAGCTCTCAATTGCAGCAAAACCCCCCCAAACAATATAAACATCATGGTTTTATATTAAACGCTGTAGTCATTCTTGATTTCAAACAGTCTAAGTAAAATTGGCTTGAATACTGCATAACACTGTTGATTTTACGGAGCAAGAACTTATTTCCAGAATTTAGGGGGGCTGAGATGGCGCCCCAAAGAATTTATAATTTCACAACACACCACTTAAGAGCATGCAGTCACTGGGAAAAGGAGGGGTAAATAAGCCTGGAGTGAAACTTGTTTTCAAGGTCAGTGTTTCAGGAGTGTTAGCCATCTGTGCATTTGTTTAATAAAGCTGCTCAGAAATGGTGGTGGTTCAGCCTAAGTTCTGTTTAGAGATTACTCTGAGCCCTTGGGCTTCTTTAAGCAGTGCCCTAGTAATTTCTCTGTTGCTGGAACAGTTGCATCTGGAATACACAGACGTAGCAGCTGCTTTGAGGAGATTCTCAAGGTCAGGCTTTGGCTGGGAGGGGATCCCAGGAAATCTGATAGTCTTCATTTATTGGTCACTGGTGGCTGGAAAAACCTATCTTCATTCTTCTGCTGGCTCCCACAAGGCTCTTGGCTTTTTAATGCA